CATTTCGAGAGGTACTATTTCCTCAAATTTTCTCACCTCAGCCCCAGCCATGGTGGGGCTGAGGTGGTTGTGAAATCACGTTTTTGAAGTAGCCCTATGTAAAGTACATACTCAAAGACAATGTTTTAAAGCTTTTTTTCTATGGTGTATACACACACACATTAATAAGATCTCTATGGTTGTCAAAAATCCCTGATAAAAGATCATGAGAATTTCTTTTGGCGTTCATTTTGACTAATGGTGATGTGATGATGATGAATTTTACTAAAAGTGTCATTTCTGGCCATCTAGAGGTACTATTTCCTCAAATTTTCTCACCTCCGATCCAACCATTGTGGGGCTGGGGTGGGTGTTGACTTACAAAATGCCCTCCCCCTCCACCTTCCAAAACAGATCTGTGCCCTTCCCTGGGTATGACATTAAACTCCATCGAGTCGGCTCCTGATGTAAGTCTTAGTGACTGCTGTTTGTTTTTAGGATGTGATCTGGTTTTTCATGTCCCTTTTTCGTGATTATGACTATTCTGGATAAAGAATGTTTTGAGCAGAGGTGGATTCAAGGCACCCCCCTTCATTTTTTTAAGGAAAAAATGAAAAATATATTCAAATTGAAGTGCGAGAGTGTAATTTCCGGCCATCTAGAGATGCCCTAATCATAAATTTTCTTACCTCAGCCCCAACCATGGTGGGGCTGAGGTGGGTGGTTCCTCGGTCTGTGAAAGTCCCTCCCTCGTTCACCTCTTTCGAATTCCTGGATCTGTCACTGTTGATGTATTATATAATTATTTTTTCGCTTATTTATAATGCGTCTGTTGCAATTTTCACTTTATCCTCTCAAACAGTCCTAAGAACATTCAGAGTGCGCTAGTTCACAGGGGGATTCGCCCCTTGACCCTGCCGGGGGCATACGTAATTTGCATAACGGCTCCCCCCCTTTCAAAATCCTGGCTACGTCCCTGAGTGCAAAACTGAGAGTCAGCAGCGCAAAACTGAGAGTCATCAGTGCAAAACTGAGAGTCACCAGTGCAAAACAGAGTCACAGTGCAAAACACAGAGTCAGCAGCGCAAAACTGAGAGTCAGCAGCGCAAAACTGAGAGTCAGCAGTGCAAAACACTGAGTAACAGTGCAAAACTGAGTCACAGTGCAAAACACAGAGTCAAAGTGCAAAACTGAGTCACAGTGCAAAACACAGAGTCAGCAGCGCAAAACCGAGAGTCAGCAGCGCAAAACTGAGAGTCAGCAGTGCAAAACAGAGAGTAACAGTGCAAAACTGAGAGTCACAGTGCAAAACATTGGTGGCAATGCAAAACTCCAATGACAGTGCAATTTAAGTGGACGCCCTCTATTTTGAGGGTGAATTTATTTGACCACTGTATAAATTTACATAATACAAAATCTAAAAATAATGTTTAATTTAGTTATACCAAAGCTACGTACCATTTCCGACTGTCTTAAAAATGTGGATCATTTTCGATTTAGGAGGTGCCCTGGGGAGGTGATGCAGGAATCCAGATATGTAGCACTGTCCACCATCTTTATCCCACTCCAGCAGACTGTAAAGTAAGGCTGTGCGTGGAATATATTCTCCGTATAAAATTTTTGCCTGGAAATCCATCCGTGCATTTCAGAATATATGGGCCGATTTCCTTGCTGAATTTGCCAAAAATTAGGCTTAGAACTACTATGTAGTAATTACAACTTTGTGCATCTATTTTCCAAGCGACTTTCCGCGAGTTGGTTTTTGAGGTATCATCCACTCAATTCAAAAACTTTACAGTATGGATCCCACTGAATGTCCAGGTATACTAAACAATGCCCTCAAACATGTAATCAAACCATTTCAATTAAATGAAAGTATTTTTCTTAATTCTTTTAAAGATATGACATTCTAAATTAATTTCATAAATCTTATAAAAAAAATTGGCATTTCAGTATCAAAAGATGCGTAATCGCATTGTATGATAAATTACTGTGATATAAAAACAAAATACCATATAATTCATGTAAAGCAACTTGATTAAATGCTAAAGAAGAATAGAATATATATTTGCATAATACCATTATATTTACAAAATGTACGATACTAAATCATGTATATTATACACTATATTATCATTTACTTCCTCCTTACCATATAAAATCTTCTGTTGTCATTATTTGAACTATGATACACTGTGGTATTAAACTTTAATTGAGTGTCGTAATTGCAGTGGTGGGGCCCTGCTCTAAGTGAAGGGATTGGAGAAACTAGCCCTTGGCCTAATCAGTGTGTAATTGTTCTTTGAAATTTTCGCTACCAATGCGTACTTATGTTCTTTCATTAGTTTTGGTAAGTTTCCTGGTAGTACTTCCGAAGTTCTTTAGCGACAGCCTTCTTTAGCAACTAGCCCCCCTGGCCTAATCAGTGTGTAATTGTCCTTCAAAGTTCTGGTACTATTGTGTACCTACAAATGTTCTTGAATCATTTTTGATGAGTTTCCTGGTAGTACTTCCGAAGTTCTTTAGCGACAGCCTTCTTTCCAAGTTTTTTCAATGCGTCACTCATCTTTACAAGGTGATTTACTTCAAAGTTTTGCCTTTCTCTCCATTTAACCAACATTTCCAGACTTGAGTCCACATTGGGTGGTGAAAAGTCCATCTCAATTCTTTCTATTTCATGTTTTTTCAGACCAATGATGCTGCCAAAGGATTTCCAGTCCTTGCCAAGTCTTTGGGCAATAAACAGCATATCAATGTCTGCTAAGTATCCTAAACAAAGAGGAAGGACATCAAATATTAAAACACGCTTTAAGTATAGTGGCAGAATCAAATGGAAGATTGTGGTGGGCCTCAGCAGGTTTTTTAAAAAATGGAGAAAAAAGGCCAAATTGTAATCAAGTTTAGGTCTTGAGAGTGCCATGCCGGTTCTAGACGTGCCATAATTATAAATTCTTTTACCTCAGTTCCAACCATGGTGGGGCTGAGGTGGCCTACACTCTCCATCTTTGAAAGTCTCTCCCTGGGACCCTCTATTTTAAATATTCCTGGATCCACAACTGTCAAGAACATTGCAGACTTTACAGTCCCTAGTCCAGCCATGACAGAGGCAACTGGCAGAGTTTGTAGAATGTGCCATGTGGAATACAGCAAAAAGATGATGATGAAGGAAGCATTTGAAGGAATGTTGAGGATTTTGTATCGTTGTATCATTCTTTTGTAAAACACTTACAAAAATATATAATATACCTCCCATAGTATTTCATCCTTACTTTTTTATTTATTGTTACTTTTTTATTGATCCTTACTTTTTTATTTAAAAAAGAAGAAGAAAGGAACATCAAACAATCTGCTCTGATGGACTGCAATTTCAGGAATAAATTACCTACCATCATATTGCTGGTGTCTCTGATGTAACGGTCGTCTAGCATGTACTTTTGTTGAGGTTTGCGAGCCAAAAACATTGTTAGCAAGTTCTGTGAGTCCTTGCTCCTTCAAATCCATGCACATTATCTCCACTTGATTTGTCTCGTAATTCTGATGATTCCTCCATTCTGTAAGCATATCCATTATGCTCTCTGGCAATTGTCTCTTATCACTCCATATTTGTTGGATCCTGTTCCAACTGAGACCCAGTCTGACACCCAGTTGTTTCCACTCCATTCCCATGCCCACTGCGAAACGAAGCAGGTGCTTGTCTTCCAGATAACCAAGATGTTCATCTGAAGTGAAAATTGAAGTAGGCTATACAATAAAATACGGTAACTTTGATAAAAAAAAATATAATGTAAAAATAATAAAAATATAATGTAAAAATAATAAAAATAATACTGTAATAATAATAATAATAATAATAATTACAATAATAATAATAATAAAAACATCCAAGCATTTACATAGTGCTCATTAAAAACAGATAATTTCATGAGACACAAAATAGTAAATAACATCTAACCTGGTGGTACTGTTTCAGTATCACTTGATCCTGCTCCTTGCATTGGAGAACCTACAAATAAATAGGTTGTTAAAAAAATGAATACAGGATCAAGCGACTAAAATTGATTGCTGTCTATCACATTAAATTTAGATCAGGACAAAATCAATTTATATAAAGTTTTAATAGTGAATTTATTCTAAATCACAGGTGGGCATGGGCCCCTTACAGTAGCCCAACAACAATTTTGTTGTTACCTCGGAAAAAAATTTAAAAAAAAATCTGTATCAAGCGAACCATTTTTAGCTAGAAAACCCATTGTTGGTATCAAGCTGATTGTCTGTAAGACTAATAATAAAATGGGATGCTTCTGGATATAAAGCATATAAACTGTGCCTCTTGGTTTATGTTATGTTTGTTTTTTATTTCAAATAAATCAAATCAAAACTGAGCATAAAGCAGTGCATGAATGTTGTAAATTAAAAATTTACTTTGGCTCTCTGACCAGTTTTATCCCTTCATTTCTGGATAAAGCTTTCAATACTGAAACATTGATTTCCAAAGAGTAATTTGAAAAAAAAAATTGTCTACTGTATAATAATAAAAAAAAAAAACAGGAATTCAAAAAAACATAATATGACAGTAAAGGACATCAAACACAATAGGCAAGTTAGAATCGAATAACATATATATTACATATTTCATATAGAATAATTAATTGCTGAGATTAATATAAAATTCAAGTTTATTTTCAAGTAATTTGGACCACCTCCCAAAATGAAGCTGAGGGATGTAGTCCCAATGATTCGGACCACCTCCCAACATGAAGCTGAGTAATGTAGTGCCAATCATCCAACAGCGAGGGAAGTAGAATTCACTGCTTTACCAAAATAAAAATCGTGTTGTACTGTCCATCCACATTAGCCATGCTCCCAAAAATCAGGTTCAGATATTTGCAAGAGGGGGGGGGGGGTCATGAAGGAATAAAAAGGCACTCTTGTATTATATATGACATAAGTTTATATGATGTTGGGTACAGTCGTCTGTCTTGTCACCCACCATCTTTTGAAATACAATATTTGAAAACCAAAAATAATATTAGATTACCTAGAACATTATTCTCATTAATGAACCCCCCTCCACACACACAGAAGAAGCTACTGGTTTGGCTATTTACCATCACCTGTATAATTATAGTCCAAGCTACTACACCACGTACTGAGTGAAATTGATCAATGGAATGTTGTTACCTGTATTACCTATAAACATTTTTATGAGGTATAGCAAAATGTTATCTGGTTTCACAAGTTTTCCTTCCCAGTTTTTGTTATTTACCTGTCACTAGTTGCTTATTCTTGAACATCCTTTGAAGTTTGCCTGTGGTTATCGATTCCCTTCCGCATGGAATACAGTCATTTTCCAGGCACTCCTCCAAATTGTGGAAGTGCATTTCTCGCAAGCTTGTCCAGCACAGGACACGGAACTTATAACGTGTGTGCTTCATTCCAGATGTCAGCACAATGTTGTTACCTGTATTACCTATAAACATTTTTATGAGGTATAGCAAAATGTTATCTGGTTTCACAAGTTTTCCTTCCCAGTTTTTGTTATTTACCTGTCACTAGTTGCTTATTCTTGAACATCCTTTGAAGTTTGCCTGTGGTTATCGATTCCCTTCCGCATGGAATACAGTCATTTTCCAGGCACTCCTCCAAATCGTGGAAGTGCATTTCTCGCAAGCTTGTCCAGCACAGGACACGGAACTTATAACGTGTGTGCTTCATTCCGTATGTCAGCACTTTCATCTCTTTCTTCAGAAAATCTAACACCTTGAATGTGGATTTTTAAAATAATTTAAAATTGAAAACATTACAAAAAAAATTTAAAGAAAAAATTGTATGTAATATAAGAGAAGCATTGGTTTCACAGTTTAAATTGTTAGATATTATGATTTAATTGACTTAATATGCCCAATGATAAAATACAACAATTTAACAGACAATACACAGGGGTGGATCTAGAATTTTTCAAACAAAATTTTGAGAAAAAATAATGCCATAATAGAAATGCACCACCAAAAACGCTTTAATATGGTTTCAGGTTTTGCACCATATATGGTTTGATTGATTTAATGATGATACAATAGTGCTATTGTTTATGCCACCAGAATTATTGTTATTTATATTTAGCAAAATTTTTTACTTTATAATAAATATTATTATTATTACTTAAAATTATAAGTCCAATCAATGATCAATGGTGAGCTTCAAAGGCCATCCTCATTAAATAAAGTTCCATTAAAATATTAAAACAAGAACACATACAATACATTAGCTGTTCACATCATTAAAAAGCATGCAAATTAAAAATTGATAACAAATACAATTATTTTAATGGATTTGGATTGTACTTATCTATAGTATATTTACACAAGGACAGTAGTAAGAATATCTCTCATACACCCTTACCCAGATAAATCTATTTTTTAATTTTTTATTTGGTATAAATACAAATAGATAATAAATCTACTTAATATGTCTATGATCTCTAGGTAATATCATTAATAAAGAACATCACCATTGATGTGTGTAATTTTACAGCTGCTATTTCAATTGCAAGATTTCATTTATCAATACCTGCATACAGACTCTAGGACTGGGTTCACCTCTTGGTGTCTTGGTACCATCTTCCTGAATGATAGGCACCCGTAATATTTCCAGCTAACATACAAACATAAAATCAATCAATAATTCAATCATGCATGCCACTTTTATTGTAAATCACGGGTAGATCCACAAAAAGTCCAAGTATTTAGTAGATATATAATAAGTCTTATTTGTATTTTTTAACTGTGGAAACCAATTATCATGGTGCATTGACATTTTGACATAATAAATATCTGAATCTGAGTCTGTGTAGGGCCATGCAAGATGCAAAGCACTCAGCAGGGAAAGAAGTTGGGATAGTGTTTGAGATTTTTGTTTAGATATGCTTGACCATGGTACATGGAATTTAAATAGGAAAATAGCTGTTTCTGAGTACCTCTTTTTATTTATTTATATTTATTTTTTTTTGTGGGCAGTGCCTTGGCCATGTGCCTTGTATCTGTACATTACTCTCCTAAATACTCCTACTGTAGGAATAAAGCAAGAGCAAATTATCCCTTATTTGCTTATCTCTCAGGTGTTACTGTAAAAAAATGTTTTTATTCATACAATACAACAATTAAAAAAAAACATAAAAGAAGGTACAATGAAAATAACTCATCTCTATGTTGTGACTTTGATTTTCTATTTTGAATTTCATTACCTATCACTCCAATAGTAAATAAATGACATCACTTATCATCTTACCTTCAATGAGGGCTTGTTATTAATGACTACTGGTCCTAAGCTGAGAGTGTGTTCAAGTCCTAGGCTGATGTCCGCATAGTTGCTAAATAATTCCAGCATGGCTGTGTAGCCCATGTCTTGTACCATTCCAATCAAGCTGACAACTAGAGGATGGAAGACACTATCAGGGATGAAATCCTCGGAGGCCATATAGATAGATACCATCTGAGCTGTATCAAGTTGAATAGACACATTGTCTTTGCTACGTTTCAATCGACAGGGTACAAAAAATGAGCGATATTTGCTTTCCTGATTCTTGAGAAAAAACAAATGAATTAAAAAAAAAAGATAGAAAATACCAGAAAAATGTACATCTTACATTACCAGTTTTTTAAATAATCAAATGTTCTGCAATCCAAATGGCATGTGAGGTAGAGTAAGATTAACATTCTTAAAATAATTTAAACTCTCTTTTTTTTGTAAATAATTTGCTGAATTTCATTTTACAATGAAAAGATGGAATAAGTCACCATTTATGTCTGCATTTCTTTGCCTTTAAAAAAAATCTATATTAATTTATTTTTTAATAGATTTGTATTAGCATTGATTGCACTGTATATTAAGTTAGTTAAGGGGCAGGTCAATTTATCATTAACTACTGTAGCTGAATGGCTAGTGACTATCTGAACTCTCCAAGTATTTGCCAACAGAAAAAACACAAAAGAAAAAAAGCAATACCTTGATTTTCTCACAGAGCAGTCCAAACTGCTTCATTAACTCCAAGAAGACCTCAAAGCTAGATTCATCTTTGCTAATCTCATCTCTCCAAAGATGTCTGACTAACTCTTCCTCCAGTATACCTTCATTATCAAGTTTATTCCACAACTTGATCATTGAAGCCCACTGAAAATAATGATAATTTTAAACATGTTATCACTCTGTGGTGTCTGGCAGGGAATGACATCTGGCAGGGAATTTCTACTTAACTCACCTTATCACTGTCATCAGGTTCCACCACTGTGATGATTTTCTTTAAGATGTCAATCAGCTTCCGTGGGTTTGTTATCACTGTGTCCTTCAGTAGTTTGTTGTTCTCAAAGTACAAAATGATTCCAAGATCATGTAGGGTGTGGATCAGATTCTTCACGGAAATTCCACAGCTAGTGGCGACTTCACAGACCTTAACATATAATTCAAAATTATAATATTATTAAAAATAAAATGTGGAAGTGTAAATAGAACACTATTGCCAACCATTAAAAAAAGTAAGAGCATGGGGAATTTCGGATGCATTTTTCTTGGATGAATACTAAATGGAGTGTCTTTAAGAAAGGGACATGGAATGAGATAGGGTTAAGTATTAAACAATTCTTTCTAATATTTATTAACATTTTAGGCAATGATTACATACCTTAGAATAACTCATTCGCACAGCTGTCCTACCATTCTCCTGCAAAATATGCTGGAATTCAAGCCATTTGAGCGGGATGGTTTTGGGGTAGTCCAAACTGCTTCATTAACTCCAAGAAGACTTCAAAACTAGATTCATCTTTGGCAAGCTCATCCCTCCAAAGATGTCTGACTAACTTTTCCTCAAGAATTCCTTCTTCATCAAGTTTATTCCAGAGCTCAATCATTGTAGCCCACTGAAATCATTTGGACATGTAATTAATCACATTGTGTTTCAATGGTGTTTTGCGTCTGGAAATTTAATCAGAATGTCTTGGCCTACCTCAATACATTCCCAAATACTTGCAAAAAAATTTCTCCAGTGATTCGTGTTGGAATCGAACCCACGACCTCCAGATAATAGCATGGTGTCATAACCACTAGACCACTTAGCTTGTGCTCAGTGACTAGTGTTGAATCAGATCTGCAAGTCAGCGGGTACTGCAATGCTTTTTGACAGATGTAATCAAAATGACATTTTGCCCTACTTGACTTATTATCGTACTAGTCCACTCAAAAATCACCTTAACCATGGTATAAGATCCTACTTCAACGAAACTCAAACCGTAGGTACTTTATATATTGGAAAGATCATATCTTGATGTTGCGTCGTGCAACAAGTGGGATTTAAGGGAAAAAAGCAAGTTTTATAACCAGATTTTAGCCCCTTTTCACTGTCGATTGTTTACCTCGAAAAGTGACATGACTAGGCTAAAATAACGATATGCCATTTCCGTCTCTAAAACACATATTAGCTAAATGATACGTTCGCTAATAATTACCAGTATCACAACGAATTTTGATATAGTATAAATACGTAAATATGACGATGTATTTTTAATCATACAAATCTCCGTAAAAACTAAAGAATAGATATAAATATGTGCGAGTTAAAAAATATAATGAACGTGGCCATCCATATAAAATAAACTATGCCCTCAGTCAGATAATATTTTTTTTAAATTTTAACTAGCGAAGCGACGGTGGTACCCAAGGAAGTAAAGTTTGTACAATATTGGAGTACCGTCTTTTTATCGCACTTGTATATACCTAGCCTACTACTTGATCTTTTAATTTTATTTTCAATTCAAAACTTAAAATCAGCCAAACCTATATAAAGAAAAAAATTAGTGTATTGCTTATACAAAATTATGTCAGTGTTGTCGATTGCCTAATGTTAATGGCTTGCAAAGTAGTTGGGTTGTTTATTAAACTCACACGTATTTATAGTTTTTCTTTCGGTTTTTCTGAGATTTGCATGATTTAAAATATATCGTAATATTTACGTATTTATACTGTATCAAAATGCATTGTGATATTGGTAATTATTAGCGACCGTAACACTTATCTAACAAGTTTTGTAGAGATGCAAATGGCGTATTGTTATGTTAGCCTTGAGACGTCACTTGTCAAGGTAAACAATCAACGGTGACAAGCGGCTAAAATCTGGTTATAAAACTTACCTTTTTCCTTAAATCCCACTCTTTGCACGACGCAATATCAAGAGATGATCTTTCCAATATATAACGGACCTACGGTTTGAGTTTCGTTGAGGGTGGAGTTGATACCATGAAAGGTGATTTTTGACTGGACTATACTGAACGCACAGTACAGTAAAAAAATAATCTTGCAAGTGATTCAGGTGGGTATTGAACCCATGACCTTAAGATAAATAGTCTGGCATCTTATTCACTAGACCACGGAGCTTGTGCTAGTGACTATTGTAGTATTGAATCAGATCCCCAAGTAGCACTGGGTACTGCAATGCTATTGGAGGTGTTTTGCATCAGGAGATTTAATCGGAATGATGTGTGCTGATAATAATAATATTTTAATTTCCTCAACAATTACAGGAGGAGGCAACCCCAAAACATCAAACATGGTTGAGGCTGAGGGAGAATTTATGACCATGACACCTTCAAAATGGCCAGAAATTGCACTCTCATACAATTTGAATATCATTTTCTTTTTTCCCAATTTTTTAAAATATTTTTTTTTTATTTTTAAAAATTGACGGAGAACTAGATTCAGTTCGGCTTCATGAATTCCCTACTGTCAGTGGCAGATTTATGAATTTGACATAGAGGGGGCATGGGAAGGAATTTTACAGTTTGAGAGTCTGTGACACCCCATCACCACCATGGTTGAGCCTGAAGTAAGAAAATTTATGATTATGGCACCTCTATATGGCCGGAGATGGGGAGGGGTGTCGGGTGGAGTTTGCGCTTGGGGGAACCCTGCTGCTGGGATCAAGGTGGTGGAGCTCAGGCATTTTTGATAATCTGAGATCATATTTAATCGATTTCTGAAGATGCATACGGTTTTAGTGGTGGATCTAGGCATTTGATGAGAGGCCAGGGAGGGAATTCATAGATGGAGGAAGTACTAATGTTGGTGGCGGATTGTGGGGGGGTGGGGGGAAGTGATGGATTTTAAAGATTGAGAGCAATAGTAGCCAGCTATTGGGACAGTTTGGACAGTCCACACAATTTTTCTAATGGGTCAAAATTTTAAAAATGGGTCCAAATTATGCAATTTCATGCATAAAATGAGTCCACTTCATGAAAAATGGGTACAGATTTCTATTATTTAGCCTAAAATGGGTAAAATTTTAAGAAAATGGGTCGAGATTTGTAATATTTTTACATAAAATAGTTCAACTTTTAAGAAACTGGGTCCACATTATTTGAATTTACGTGTAAAGTGGGTCCACCCTGATATTGTCCCGCAATGTTTGAAAATCTTGGCTACGGCATTGATTGAGTGTTGATAACACCACAGCCCCACAATGGTTGGGGCTGATGTAAGAAAATTCATGATGCAAAAAATTTTTAAAATCTGGCAAGTGATTCAGGTAGAGACATTTTGTCTGCATGGTTGCTGACAGACAATTTAATTTATTAACCAGTGGTGGTTTTAAAAAAGTCTCATTTGGGAGGGGTGTCCCCCTTCCCAAATGAAACGTTTTTAAAAATAGGACCTCTGGTTCGACTGCCCGATGAGCTGGGCAGGTAGTGGGGGGTGGGGGGTGCTTGACTTGTCCGATGAGGGAGCTTACGTTATTAACTCACCTTTTCGCTGTCATGGGGTTCCACTACAGTGATAATTTTCTTGAAGATGTCAATCAGCTTCCGTGGGTTTGTTATCACCGTATGCTTCAGTAGTCTGTTGTTCTCAAAGTACAGAATGATTCCAAGATCATGTAAGTAGTTTAGGGTGTGGATCAGATTCTTTACAGAAATTCCGCATTTAGTGGCAACTGCACAGACCTAAATATATAAAAATGTAGAAAGTATAAAAATCTATTAAAAAAAATTTATTTAAATGTACTGTATGTTAGATGACAACATACACTCTAAGTAAATATATTAACTACAGTAAAGTCAGGATGCATTATTCCATCATTAAGGTCAAATAAAATTAATTCTTTGCCTCACGTTGCACACATAAAAAAAAAAATTATTGTTAAAATTTGCACATGAATATTCAAGTTTTCCTATTTTTTTCCCGATTTTTTTGTTGTTGAAAACGACTGTTGTGCGAGTCTATCAATAAATCTCAATGACGCAAGCGACGTCCATCTCTCTGTGGAACACATGAGTCTTCACGCTGTGAATCAACGCTCCGATCAGCATTCAACATTATGGCGACCAATCTGGTTTAATCAATTGGAAGAGCTTCAAGTCGGCCGAATTCGGAGCCAATTCATTTATCTTTTGTCAGCATTTGTTAAATTTATCGAGCTAGGCCTAGTTCTAGCTAGGCCTACTCACCCAAATTATACGCTGGGACTTTGCCCGTGGAAATTCTTGAATTCGGGCATACAGCGGGGGTGAGATTATATCCGAGGTGAGACTGTACCCGGGGAACTACGGTACATACAGGGGTGTATCTAGTGGATGTTAAGGGAGGGCAAGCACCCCATGTGTGTATACAAAAACATAGTCATACTGATAACATGAATGTCACTCCAAAAGGCCATATTATTCATTGTTTCGCTTTTATAAGCATCATCAGGAATAATATAATACAAAGATACAAGCTATGGCTATGCAAAAATCAGCATATTTTTTTCAACTGTTTGCATTTGTTGGACGCTTACATGGATCCTAATCCTGGATACGCCCCTGTATACTAAGTCGTGGCTTTTTTGGTACATTACTAAGACCATTATTTTATTCAAATACTTCTTTTAGAATTGGGTAGCGTAAAAAAAAAAAAGGCCTCATTTCACATTGAATTTTTGAAGCCAGAAGTGATGCGAGACAAAAAAAAAATTTTTAAAAAAACCTCATTCCGCATTGAATTTTTGAAGTCAAGAGTGACGTGAGACAAAGAATGAATTTTGTTGGCCTAAAGAAAACTTCTAGTACAACAACACATTTCTTTCTCTTGCAATCCGATTGAACAATGCAAGTCATAAGAGATACAGTAGTTGCTGTCTCTTATACACATCTAGATGTGTATAAGAGACAGGTAGAGAGTCAAAGTGGCGTTCCAACAAGCAATGGATTCCACATTAGCATTAGCTTTACTGAGCTCTTTATTTCTACCTTAAAACTTTTAAATCAATTTTATATATATATATTATTATTATTTAGTTATCAAATCAATTTTTACTTCTTTTGCAGATGCCGATTAAATGGTTGGCACTAGAATGCATAATGTATAGAAAGTTCACCCATAAGAGTGATGTCTGGAGCTTTGGTTAGTACTAAATACATTTTAGTAATAGTTTTCAAAGTCTTCAGTCTCATCTAATAGTAATGATATCAACGACATGTAATTAATGCTCTAGGTGTGTATTACACAATATTGTTTTATTCTTTAAGGTGTGACACTCTGGGAGCTTATGAC